AATTCTAAAAAATCTGACTGATCTCAGAATCTGCAGATAACCAGAAGTACAAATATGCAAACTACCCCAAGGAGTTTTGCATTCTTTATACACACGGACACCCCACCACCACCACCACCAAAAAAAGAGGCAAATCTATTTCCCATCTAGGGTTGCAGACAAATCAATTACTTTTGTCCTAAACAGGTGTATTTATTGAGCAATTTCAGCAGTGTAAGGATGAGACAGGTAGGAAATACCCATTTATTCTCCTCCTAAAGCGGCCCCCAGCAGGAACTTGGGTAATGGAAAAGACCCATTGCCACTCCCTCTACTCGGGAAAGCAGCTGGCCTGGACTGTTCCAGCCTCTGCTTGAATGGTCATAAAAATGTCCCTCCGTGGGGTTGGGGAAACAACTTGGTTGGTTACAATGCTGGCTGCACAAGCCTGAGGACCTGAGTTTGATCCCCAGCGCCCACATAAAAGCTGGGCATTATGCTCCATCGCCCAGCACTGGGGACAGGCTGGCTAACCCAGCGAAGAGGTGAACTCCAGGCCAATGAAAAACCCTGTCTCAAAAGCCAGGGTCCAAGGTTGACCTCTAGCCTCCATGTGCATGAAAACACACATGCTCACTCACCTGCATGAACACACACACACACACACACACACACACACACACACACACACACACACCAAAAAAAAAAATGGCCCTCCAAAGAGGTGCACGTAGTCACACAAGGCAAACCCCGGGGAACAACAATTAGAAATGCCTTCCAGATACAAGTGAACCACAAATACTGAGTTGTCGGGGCATTTGAAAACCTTCCATATCCTTCTCCGAATGCTGGACATGAAGTTTCTGTTTTTTCAGAAGGTGCTTAAGGATATCTCTGGGGCTAGGGAGGTAGCTCAGTCAGTAAAATGTTTGCCTTGCAAACCTGAGTACCTGAGTTCAATCCCCAGAACCCACATTTTTAAAATTTTAAAAATAATAGAAATAAAACGCTAGGCATGGCAGCATGCACTTGAAAGCCAGCTGGAAAAACAGACCACAGGCTGGTTCCTAGGGCTGCTGACCAGCCAATCTAGCCTTGTGAGTGAGGTCAGGCCAGTGGGAGACACTGTCTCAAAACAAACAAACAAACAAACAAAAAACCAGCGGTTGTGGCCTGAGGAAAAACAGCCAAGATTGTTCTCTGCCCTACACACCTACATGTGATGTGCACATATGCATGCATCTGCACATAGACGCAGACACACACACACACACACACACACACACACACACACACACACACACACCCCTCCAGCAGAGATGACTCTAACAGCCTAGCAAACACGCCAACAGAAATGTTTACCATTCCTAATTTGCTGTTACACAACATTTATTTGCTCTCACTGTGTGCCAAGGATCTGAAAACATGTTGTTGATTAATAAACAGTAATTAAGTCTCACCACCTCACTCAGAGATACAGTTAGGTTCTGGGATCCCCCTTTGCAGGAGACTGAAGTGAAGCATAGGGGTTGACAGCATTTCCTGGGGCCTGACTTGAAGGTGCATTAGACATATCCATCCAGGAGCCTGCCCCTCTCCCCTCCCTCCATCTCCTCTTCAACCCTCCTGATCCAGTTACCACTCGCTGGGCCCCCTACTCAGCAAGGTCCCTCTAAGCACACTGACAAAAGGCCCTGACCCTCTTCTTCTAACATTAGACATTCCAGCCTATGAGGAGAGATACCAGATAGACTGCCAAATACAGGATTACAAAACCTGCTACTGAATCCTCCTCTGGGTTTGTTTTGTTTGCTTTTTTACAATGTTTTATTTCAAAAGCATTTTGACCAGTTTCTGGCAGGGCTTTCCTGCCTTAGGATCTTAAAGATATTTGGTAAAAGTGTGGGGAACAGTATGACTGGAGCTACATGGATCTTTGGGCACTGACTCCAATTATTCAATTATTGTTGTCTACACCTCTGATTCCTGCTGGACTTCATTATAAATAAGAGAAAAATTCTAGATATAAAACCCACACCGAAGGGACAGAAAGTAACTTCTACAGTAAGACTTAGGCCAAGGTCACTAGACTTGGCTCAGGGTGAGCCAGACATCCTAAACTTGGGACCACTTCTAGCAAGTTCAGGGAGATGGTACAATGGTGATGATCCAAGAACTCTGAAGTCCTTGCATATTTAGATAGGAGGTTATTCATGATAGTCTCTTATGTGTGTCCTTATTAAAAGTGGCCTTCTATATATGAAAACCTTTTTTTATAATTATTTGTAGTCCTGGGATGTAACCCAGGCCTCACACATGGTAGGCAAACACTCTGCTACTCAGCTACATTCCCTATTCTCAGGTTAAGTTATCATTTTTTAGGCTATAAAGTAGCTGAACAGCATTGAGGATCACGGAGAGTTGTTCTGGAAATAGAAAGATGTCTCAGTAAGGAAAGGGTCTGCCACAGGAGCATGAGGACCTGAATTTGCATTCCCATCACCCACATAAACGCTGGGCATGGCCGCCCTCATCTGTAATCCCAGTACAGTTGAATCCCTGAAGCTCGTTGGCAGCTACTGTAGCCAAATGGATAAGCTGCAAGTTCAGTCTAAGACCCCGTTACAAAAGGAAGGGGACATCCAGTGTCGACCTCTGGCCTCCACATGCACTCCAACACACGTGTGCACACACATGCACCTCTTCTGCCTAGCTCTGAACATTATCTCCATCACTTAGTAGCTAGCTCGTTAGCTCACGGTCTCTCTCATGCCTCAGTTTTTTTGTCTGGAAATTATGGGTAGCACTACATAATTATGTCATGAATTTTGTGTGTGTGAGTTAAAACGGATTAATACACACAAGAAACTTAGAATAAATACCTAGTGGTTAATATACTTTTAAGAATGTCAGGGGTTGGGGATTTAGCTCAGTGGTAGAGCGCTTGCCTAGCAAGCACAAGGCCCTGGGTTCGATCCTCAGCTCAAAAAAAAAAAAAGAATGCCACCATAATTATCAATACTATTATGTCATTCATTTTTTTTTAAATCTTGATCATTGTATTTCTAGTACCAACCTAGGTACCCTGTCAGCATTACACCAGAGAGTTTCTTTGCCAAGAATTATTTTCAAACAGAAGGGACCCTAGGAAAAGAACCAGCTCACAGGAGCACAGCTCAAGTCCATGAAGCTGTTGTGCCTGAGCTCGGGTCAGCATGAAGTCAAGGCCCTGTCCTTCCCAGAAATGGACGCCACTCCAGTGAACCCAAGCAGCATGCTACACAGTACAGTCTGTTCGAAGCCAGCTCCATCTCAGCAGCCTGGCCACTGCAGAGGTGCAGGCATGGCGTCTGGCTTTGCCAGTGAGGACAGTCAGTGAAGGGAGATTGTTACGTGAAGGCTGCAGGCAATGGGTTCCTGCAGGTAAAAGACATGTAAGGGGATCTGTTCACACAGGAGGGTATTCCTCAATCTCCAACCACGTGCCAGGTCCCTGCCGGACAAGCAGAAGGTACATTTCTGTTTGCCTGTTAACTCATGCATCTCAAAGTCACAACCTCAACCTAAAATACAATTTTGAAAAGTTGGGACCAGACGTATCCTCTTAACTGGGAAAGTTAAAAGCTTAACCCTCTTTACTGAAAAGCTAAAAGCCCCCTTGTTTTATTTCCACAAAGACACAAAGTAGGTGCACAGAGATGCCTTCCCTGGTGCACAGCAGCAGCAGCAGCAGCAGCAGCAGGGTGACCCTGTTCTAGAGCTCAGCACACTGCACAGGCTGGCCCCAGGAATCTGGGAGCACAGCTGAAAATGTCACCCTACAACTTCTCTCTGGGGGACCCACTTCAGGTGGGGGCGGGGGAGGAGAGGCATGAAGGGAAATCATTAGCAATATTTCGCTGTGGAACTCTGAGTTTAGAGCAGATTTTAAAAACGGGGTCCTGGAAAAGCAAAGCAAGTGCAGAAACAGGAAGGTTGAGATGGCATAAGGAAAGACAGAAAAGCACCCAGCCACACAGACATGCCCGGGAAACACCCCCTCTTTTCTCTGTGTCACCAACACCTCCTAAACCCCAGCAAAACGCTCATTCCAGGCAGCCCGTGTGTAACTGTATCTGTATGGACATATACTGATCAAAACCAGAAGCTGATCAAGTAGGGGGAGAAAATAACTTGAACTTCAGACTCATTTGGCAGCGCTGAATTCTTTCACAGCCCTTGTACCTATCTGAGGCGCTTCAAAACAAAACAAAACCAACTCATGCGCAGGAAGGGAACTGCAGCTGTGCTGAGAGGCACATGTTCAGAGCACTGATGACACACACTTTTGATTATTTCTGCTTTCTTGAGATGTAACCATCAAGCATGAGACTACATTACGTGAAGCCGCGCAGAGAACCGCCTCTGAAGACTCACTTAACCCTCCTCTCACCCGGACATGCATTCCAGTGCGTGCGGCTGACCCTATGTGAGATATACACTCAGATGAGGCTCTGCCCACATGTCACTCTGAATACTGCGAAATTCTTCCCTCTCACCATCCTGAGGCCATCCAAAGTCTTGCCTACACATAGTACGCGCATATGTCAATTCCATAGGATTATATGATGTAAGGGCAGGACCAAAAGCTTAATTTCCTCGTGATCACTTTCGTCGACCCAGTGCGCCCATACATACGGTAAGTGCACACAGCCAGTGATCAACGAGATCCACCATACTCAGCCCACAGTCACGCGTGGGGAGAAAATCGGTGGAGGGCGGTGGTGGCAAGGGAAATGGAAAGTCGCCCGCCCGCGTGGGCTGTTCTCTGCGCGCCCAGCGCTCCCCTCCCCCGCCCAGGAGAGGTGTCACCCGTGGGCGCAGAGGGTCCCCGCAAGAGCGAACCATGGGACAATGAGGACACGCAGCGACCAGTCAATTTCTGCCGCGGCGGTGGCGGCGGCGGCAGCAGCAGGAGCCGCCGATGCAAAGCTGCCGCCACCGATGCCACTTCCACCCTCTGGTCCCCAGCACCCACTTACGTTCCGAGGGTCTCCTTGAACTCGAAGATCTTCTTTATGTCTTCCGCTTGCTTTTTCCAGGAAGAGCTGCTCTCGCCGTTCTCCCGGGCCATGGCAGACTAGCGCGGTGGGGCGACCGGGGGTGCGCTGGGGAGGGGCGCCGGGGGCGCGGCGCGGGCGCAGGGGGATGCTGGGCGCGGGGATGCAGAGCCGGAGGATGCGGAGCGCAGGGAGACTCGGGCTGCGGCAGAGCTTCCTCTTCGGCAGTTTCCTCTTTCGCCTTGGCTGCTGCCGCTGCGGTCCCTCCCTGGCTCTAATTTCTGCTGCTCTCCGGCACAGACTTCCTGCCTCTGCCGCCGCCTGCCAGCCTCACTTTCTGCTACTTTCTTGCCTGGCTCCTGCTCCCTCCCCGCCGCCCGCCCCACTCCTCCAGCCCGCCTCCTCCCGCGGGCTCCCCGCCCTCCCCGTGCACCCGGCAGCCTCCCCGCCTCCCGCGAGGCGGCCTTCGGGGATGTCCCGCTCCCCTCCCCACGAGCGCCGTGCCCTGGGCGCCGGGGTGCTGCACTTGACCACGGGGCGACGCACGCTCCTGGGCTGTCCGCGCACCCAGAGTCCCCCAGCGAGGACCGGTAGGAGAACCCGGCAGGTGCAGGGCGCTGGAACGCGCGGGGGAGCCCTAGCCTTTGGGGAGCTTTATTATGAAGTCAAGGCTGGGGGCGCCCGGGCTTTCCCTGTTCGGGCAGGAGGGGGCGCCTCTGCGTGGCGCTCGGAAGCTCCCGGCAAGGTGGGGATGCGCGGCTCACGGAATCCGGGCGCCCAGGGCGGGGCGCCTTCGCACGCCCAAGAGCCGGTGGCCCAAGCCTGCTGTGCCGGAGGGCGGGTGGGAGCTGGTTGTCAAGGCAATGGGCGGCGGCCTGGATGGAGCCAGCGGCCGGCGGGCGTTGACTCCCGGTCACAGCTTTGCCCAAGCCGGCGCTCCCAGAGCTCGGCAGTCTCCTCCCGACACCGCTGCTGGAGCTAATTCGCATTGCACCAAAATCGGCCTCAGGTCAATTTCGGGACCGCTAAAGGGAGCCTCGGTGTGTACGGGACAGGCACTCCTAGGGCAGGCAAATCCTTGCCTGGTGGTCTCTTTGGAAGCAAAACTCCTGGAGATATTTGGCGGCCAAGTGACGAGTGAATGCGGGACACCGTGGCTGCCCTAGCCCAGGACTGGAGTGATTGGGCTGGCTAGCGTTTGAACCCTTCTGGTTTGCTCTTTCTCGCTTTGCTCCTTCCTGATGCTCTGCGGCTGTGGCCAAAGCCTAGTGATTCTGTGGAAGGGCAGTGTCTGGTGCCTTTCCTTACCTCCTTCCCCCACCGGCATACCCCGCAGAGGGCTTACTTAGTAGGTAGCAGAGGCAAAGAAACAAAGAATTTCCTCGGGCCTCTGACCTCCAGAATGAACTTTGACCTGGCCAGCTATTCACCTGTTAGACAAGGACAGCCAGCAGGGTTCCTTGGTCTTGTGGCCTGCCACTGGCAGGGACTACCTCTGGATCGGAAAATTTAAGTTTTCTTTGTAGCAAGATTTCCTCTCCCCGAGGGCCGCTCTGCTGAGTTGAGTAAACAGCCCTGTCTCTTGATGAGGGACACCTGTCCCATTTTCCCAGGACTGTTCCAATTTGAGAAGGGGGAGGTGTGAATCTGCTTTCAGAAAAAGAATCTTCCCCCATCACCTCCCTTTTGGGTCGGAGACTGGCCAGAGGCTCTGCCTTCAAGCTCTCTGGTGACCCCCAAGGAGGTCAGAAGACAAACCATCTCTCCCTGGAGTCTGAGTGCTGTTTTCCACCTTTCAGTGGCCGTTAGCTCAGGAGCAGAAAGGGGGACACCTGAGTGGTTGTATGATCATCATGTTAAGTGTATTTACACAGGCCTAGATGGTGTAGCCTACTACACACCCAGCCTGTGGGATCTCTCTCTCTCTCTCTCTCTCTCTCTCTCTCTCTCTCTCTCTCTCTCTCTCTCTCTCTCTCTCTCTCTCTCTCACACACACACACACACACACACACACACACACACACACACACACACACACACACACACGACACACACATTGTGGGGGTGGGAGGAGAAACCACCTATTGCTCCTAGGACCAAAATGAACAAAACGTGAAATTAAATCTAGCACAAGACAAAATGATGCAATCAAGAGGAACAGTAAACACAAGACAGAAGAGGGTGCTGCCAGCATAATATAACAAACTGACTTACAGTCAACTCCTTTTCACAAGTAGAGGGAATGTGTTCTAGAATAAAAAAATTCAACACAGTAAATAGATAAAGCAGTAAGAATCATCTATCATCAGGCATTATTTACTTAAGTAATGTTATCTGTAGTACTTCTAGGCAAGGTACAGCTCTGTGGGTCTGTTTACACCATTACCACAAACACATGAGTAATGGGTCACACTGTGATGTTATGACTGACTTAGAGGTCACTAGGCCGTAGGAATTTTGCAGCTTCATTATAATCTTCTGGGACTAACCTCAGAATGCTATTATGCCTATGTGACTACGGTTGCTGTTGTAAACCCAGAAAAGAACCTACAAACTCAGTATGTAAGAAAGAAAGAATTAAGGAACTTCTCTCAAAGATGGAGACATCCCCATAGTCCAGAGCATACAGCATCCCCATATATATATGAACTCTATACAGAGATATGCAGTAAGGACAAGCAGAAGTCTACTTCGAGCACAGCTGACACTCTCCCATCCCCCTTCCTGGTTGTTTTTTTTTTTTTTTTCTCCTTCTCCCGCTCTTCCTCTGTCCCATCAAAAAGAGATAATTTCACAGGAAAAAAATCAAAGTACAAGGAAAAGTAGCGGGAAGGGCCTGGGAGGTGCCTCAGTAGGTGAAGTACTTGCCTTGCAGATGTGAGGACCTGACTTTGATCTCCAGAATCCAGGTGGGTTTGGGGTTTTAGGTTTGATATTGTTTTGTTTGTTTGGTTGGTTGGTTGGTTTGGTGTTGGTTTTTTGTTGTTGTTGTTTTGCAATAATAATAATAATAATACACCAGATGTGGTGGCAAACACTTGTAATCCCAAGGCTGGGAAGGTGGGGATAAGTGGATCCTGGGGTACAATAGCCAACCAACCAGTCAGCCTAACCTTCTTGGTGATTTCTAGGCCAGGAAGAGATGATTTAAAAATAAGAAGAAGAATAAATTAAGTGGGTAGTCCATGAGGAGTGGCACCTGAGGTTGCCCTTTGCCCATCACATGTGTGTGCATACACTGGAGCATATGGACACACACACACACACACACACACACACACACACACACACACACACAGGAGGCGTGCCTTTTCCTACCAGGCTCTTGGCATCCCCATCACTGCCTGTATTACCAACATACATTCACTGTAATTTATACCTGGTGACTGTTCCATAAAGCAGTGTGGAGTAGATAAAGAAAGAGACCTAAACACTGTTTGATACTTGTATTGCTGGTAGCAATACTGTGAAGAAGCTTGCTTTCTTGTCCAAACTCCATAATGATGTTGGTTCATTGGTAAAAAGCTATTTCTGTCTGGACTAGATTCCTGAGGGGGGTGGGGACTAGCTTTTTATTAGAGAGCTGGCAAAATCACACCCAGAAGAGCAGATCCAGTGGCTTGTAGACAATCGAAATGCCAAAGGCACATTCGTTTGGGCTGAATTATTTTCATTTCTCCCTTACCAGATGCCATGTAAAATAAACAAAAGCTCTTGATCCTGGAAAGAGCAATTAAAAATCAAACCTTTCATCCTTTTAGAATGCTTCAGGGGCTAGAGAGATGAGATGGCTCATTGGTTAAGAGCACTGGCTGCTCTTCCAGAGGATTAGGGTTCAATTCCCAGCACCCACATGGTGGCTTACAACCCTATGTAACTCCAGTCCTAGGGGATCTGACACCCTCTTCTGGCCTCTGTGGGCACTGAATGCATGTGGTACCCAGACATGCATGGAAGCAAAGCACCCATATATATAATATTTTTAAATAAAAATTTTTAAAGAATATTTTAACCTTAGTGCTGTAAACACCACAGTTCTGTTTCCTAGAGGGCCGTGTTCACACTCTCCTCCAACATAGCTGACCGCTCCTTTCACATTTTTCTGGTGGAAGAACTGGCAGCTGCCATTCACCTTCTGGATTGCCTCCCTAAGTCTATTCTCAATAAACTACAGTCTGTCAGTCAGCAGGTGTCAGTTACTCCACAACTCTATTTCCAAAAGCTTTGACAGAGGGCTGGAGAGATGGCTCAGCAGTTAAGAGCACTGGTTGCTCTTCCAGAGAACCAGGTTCAATTCCCAGCACCCGAATGGCAGCTCACGATTGTCTGTAACTCCAGTTCCAAGGGCTCTGACACCCTCACACAGACATGCACCCTGACAAAATACCAATACACACAAAATAAAAAAAATAAAAATAAAATCTTTTTTAAAAAAAAAAGCTTTGTCATTTATTTGGATTACTAAGGCTTGGGTTCTGCTATAGTCTGAATGGTAAAGGTACTGCAAAGGTCCATGTTTTAAAGCCTTGGTCCCTACTGTGACATTACTGAGAGGCAGTGGAACATTTGAGAGGTGGGACCTAATGGAAGTACTTTAGGTCATGGAGGTATAATCTTGAAGAACAATATGAAATACAGGCCTCTTCTTCCTGCCTCCTAACCAAAGGCACACAATGCTTCTAACATGACATGTGTCTTAGCCAAGGCCAGAGGGAGAACTGGTGTACACAACTGTGGGCCTTTGTTCATAGGTTCTTTAGTAATACAAGTTTATCATTTCATGTGTTTAGGGGCTTTTCTCTCCCTTTCTTTGTTTGTTGTTTACATGGGGTTTTGTGTTGTTGTGGTTAGTTGGTTGGTTGGTTGGTCGGTTGGTTGGTTGGTTGGTTTTGTTTTGTTTTAGCTTTGGTTTTGGTACTGGAGACTGAAGCCAGTGCCTCACAAGTGCCAAGCACCTGCCACTGAGCTACACCCTTGGCCCATCTGGTATTTGTTATAGTGATGGGATGATGAGTAACAGAGGTTCAAAGTCTTTATATTTTCTTAAAGCCCTTAACATTTGTTTAGTTAAAGAGCTCAAGGAAAAGGCATTTTAATGACCCATCATTAAAGGGTTACTAATTTTACACTCAAACTTTCCAGCTAACCCCTAATTTATATGACCCGGGTTGAGTACTGAGAAAATGGTATTGGAGAAAGAAAGACTATGCTACCCTAAAGCAAATGCTCAGGTTAAATTTGAAAATTGCTAAATTACCCCTCTTCAGACTATTGCACCTAACTTGATACACCAGCTAGGCAAGCTGGATGATGGAAAGAATTAGAAACTAGAAATGAAAGCCAGGTGGTGGTGGTCCCACCCCACCTGCATCCCAGCACTGGGGAGGCAGAGGCAGGTGAATCTCTTTGAGTTTGAAGCCAGTCTGGTCTACAGAGCGGGTTTCAGGACAGCCAGGGCTTTTACACAGAGAAACTCTGTCTTGAAAACCCAAAGAAAAAAAAAGAAAGAAAGAAACCAGAAATGAGGCCCCAGTTCCAGGTCTTCCACTGGTTTGTGCATGTGCTTGAGTGGAATTCAAAATAGTATGTA